TGACAATACCATAGATATGCATGTATCAAAGATAAACATTAGACTAGACCCTTCCTCAGTGAGCTAATCGTGAATGAGGCATGCATAAAGCAAAGGGTGCAAACTGCATGCTATCTTAATTCTCACTTTTTTAACTTTGCACATTTGAAAACAGTAGATGAGGTTTCTATCTCTCATTCCACACAGATTCTGTGTTACTTTAACTCATCCAGTAGGTCAATTGCCAGATTTCTGGCTGGGGTGTTCCCTATACACAGAAACCACTCTCAGTTCAGGAACAAGAGAGAGCATAGCTGAAACCTCCCAGATAGTCCAGAAACATAACAATTTTGGAAAAACACGAGAATGACAGAGATATTGTAATTCTGGCTGCTGCTGTTCTCTCCAGCTTGCTGCGTGATAAACCACCATCTCTAGCTGGCAAATGGCCAAGGAGAAACCCTGTTTCTGGTTCTGGAATGGTCCAGAAAAGATAATATTTTGGCCACACCCAAAGTGCTGGGAACAAGGTTTAGGGCTTACGCTTCCTTTTGTACAAGTACTTTTTGCCTTTCTGTCTGCAGTTTCCAAAACAAACCATCTCACTGCCACTGAGCTCATATTTTGAAGGGTTTTCTTTAACCCTCTAGAGAAGAAAAGTTTTTTTTTAATTAAATGCTGAAGTTTTACTGAAATTCATGCTCAGAAAAATCAGCATGTGTGTGTAAAAAGTGGATGCAGATTCTGTGAATGAGTCAGAAGGGAAACAAAAGTGTTGTAGGTCAAAGTTATTTCTCTTTATTTTTGCACCTGAACAGCCCATCATTTCTGAAAGCCTACACCATAAGGACTTTCCTTTGGTTATGCTGTTCAACCCACAAGAAATGACTCATTCTGTTCAGCTTAGTAGCTCTATAATAAACTTTACATTTGCAAAACCTTGCAGGATCAAATCCCTAAAAAATTTCACAAACTTTCTTCATCTTAATGCCACAGTGTAAAGCAGTGGAGCTTGAGGGTTTTTTTTTTTCAACTGCTTTTAACATAGAGAAAAGTGACAGTTGTACAGAAATCACGTGTGCTGGTTTGGCTGGGATGGAGTTAATTTTCTTCATAGTAGCTAGTATTGGGCTATGGTTTGGATTTGTGCTGAAAACAGTGTTGATAATACAGAGATGGTTTTGTTACTGCTGAGCAGTGCTTACACAGAGTCAAGGCCTTTTCTGCTTCTCGTCCCACCCCACCAGCGAGTAGGCTGGGGGTGCACAAGAATTTGGGAGGGGACACAGCTGGGACAGCTGACCCCAACTGACCAAAAGGGATATTCCATATCATATGATGTCATGCTCAGCATATAAAGCTGGGAGAAGAAGAAGGAGGAAGGGGGGGATGTTCGGAGTGATGGCGTTTGTCTTGCCAAGTTAACCATTACGTGTGATGGAGCTCTGCTTTCCTGAAGATGGCTGAATACCTGCCCACTGATGGGAAGTGGTGAATTAATAACCTGTTTTGCTTTGCTTGCATGAGCAGCTTTTTCTTTACTTATTAAACTGTCTTTATCTCAACCCACGAGTTTTCTCACTTTTACTCTTCTGATTCTCTCCCTCATCCAACCAGGGCAGGGAGTGAGCAAGCAGCTGTGTGGTGCTTAGTGGCCATCTGGGGTTAAACCATGACACCAGGTTATGCTCTGCAACAGTAAGCATCTATACTATGATATAGGGCATACATACATTAGTTAATTTGGTAGATGTGACTTCTAAGCTGCCTGAGAATATCAATTGTATTTAGAGGACATGTCACAGAAGAACGGAAAGTGAAGAAATGACAATATTGTTTTGTTAGTAGATGAGAATATAACCCAGTATCTCTTGGTTATGCTCAATATTAAAACATTTGAAGCTATGTCTGAGCTCCCTGCTGTAACTAAGCATGAAGCTCATATGGGCTGTCCTCATGACCAGGAGCTACCTGTTGCTTATAAGCAGCTTCAGCAACAGTCACATCTGACCTGTGCTAAATACAGTTGCCTAACCATGATCAATAGGCTATTAAACTGTGATTAAGCCTGAATGAATAATGATGTTTATGGGCAGTAACTGTTTTCAATTTCATCAAGTACATATCTCTTCTTTTTGAGTTACAGGAAGCCATATGTTAAGGATAGTAAATTAGCCATCCTGAAAAACATTCAGAGTCAAACCAAGAATTCATTATGTTTGCAATCGAATCCTACTATAGAAAAAAAAAAAAGACTGTGCTTTAAAGAAGGCATATCTTGTCAGGGAGGAAGTAAAATGAAATTTAAACCCAGTTTAACAGTACATCTCCCGATGACCTGTTTTCTGATCACGTAGCCACTCAAAGCAAATCACTTGCCAGATTTCAACCTTCTCTTACTCAACTCAGGAGGACTTTAAATATGTTATGCTGTGAATGCAATGGAAACTTCTTACACAATGTTGCAAACTAGAGCAAACACTTCTTGGTTGACTCTGGTTGAGTATCTAGTCTTGTCTCCATTTCAGTAAAACATTCTCAATGCTATGCCAGGTTCCTCATGAAAATTGAAAGTACTCACCCTAACAAGCTTAAAGATCCCCAAAATGTAAACACAGATTTGCGAAATGATTTTAAGACAGTAACTAAGAAATATGATCCAAAGCAGGTGGCAAGATGAAGGCCAGGAGCTGAGGTGAGGTGTTCTGCTCCTGGCTGCCCAATGGACCCAGCAAAAATGAGGACACTTACTTCATCTCTGCGCTTTCACTGACACAGTCACTTTTCTACAGACTTCCCTTTTTGCTCTGTACTCCTCACTGCCAGCTGTAACACAGAAAAGGTGCAAGGAGTAACCAAGGTTTTAAAAACCAGAGTTTCATTGAGGCCTGCCTCAAGTAGTCTCAGATGCATGCTAGTTGAATTGGCCCCTTTTACAGTCCCGGGGTGGGCCTATTTTGGCCTCCAGCCTTTGGGACAGATGCAGTTGGGTAAAGTGGCCATAACATTACCTTTTTCCTAAATTTTCTTTGTGCAGTTTGGGGCAGGGACCCTGTTGCGCCAAGGCCACCCGTATCTCTGTGGGAGAGGGATCACGCTCCAGCCCACCTTCAGCTGGGAGAAACCAAAACCTCCTCCTTGAGCAAAACTAACTAGACAAGAGTAATGCTAATCCCCGTAAGTGCGTAAGCAAGCCCTGATGCTATCACCCTGAAAGGAAATACATTTTTGGCCTGAGTCAGGCATGGGGATTAGCCTGACCGCGGGAAATGGCGAACACGCACCCATAGGGAACCGTGACCTCTTCTTTAACGTTAACGCGGGACAAAACGCTGGGCCCTGAAGAAAGCAGCGGCCGCCCTTACCGCCTCGCCTCAGGCAAAGAAACCGCCCGCTCCCCTGAGGGAGCCATAGCGCCGGGGGGGGCCGTGCCGGAAGGGGCCGGGCCGGGCTGGGCGGTGGCGCCCGGCGACTCCGCCGTTCTCCTCCGCGATGTTGCCGCTGTTGTTGCGCCGGGCTTGGGCGGCCGCTGCCTCACGGCGGGGGACACGACGGTGCAGCCTGGGAGCCTGCTGCTCCTACCGCCTGCGAGACGCCCGTGAGTGCCGCGCCCCTTCCCTCAGGGTGGGGAGCCGCTTCCCTCAGGGTGGGGCGGGGACCTTCACCCCTTGAGGCGAGCAGCTCCCGCCGCCTGAGGAGAGCGGGTCGCCGCCCCGAGCCCCCTCCTCGCTCTCCCCGCCCGGTTCGTCGTCCCCCGCCCCGAGGTAGCCCCGCTGCCCACCGCCTTGTGCCCTGCCCCGGGTCTGGCTGAGGGGTCCGTGTCCCTCCGTCCCTTCCCGCCTTCCCCCGGGCTGAGGGGGCTGCCGGTGCCTCGCGAGTTTGTGTGGAAGGAGGCAGGGACGCCAAGTTCAGCCTGGCTTTGTCGGCGACAGTTCCTCCGCTGGCACATCGGGAAGCGGCAGGAACAGTAACAGAGAGCTGGGGCACTTCTGGAGAATATTTTGCTCGCCCGTTTCTGCCTTACCTGCCTGCGGTGACCTTGCGCAGGCCGATAAAGTTTGCGCCTTGCTGAGGAGACCGGGGGGGGGAAGGTTGTTTAGCCACCTCTCCTGTGAGTGGTTTGTTAAAAGACTTACTTTTTTGTTTTCCCCTTGTGAAAGACCAGGAGCAGTTGTATCTACTGAAGTAGCCAGCAAGTAACACGATGATTCAGAGCCTCTCGGTTTTGGGTTCAGGGGATGGGCAGGGCACAAAACCCTTTTTCTGTGGGTCCTCAGTGTCAGGGGGCTGCAGGTGAACGAGCGCTCCCCATCCACACAGATCTCCGTTCTTGTTTTTTTAAGCCCAACGAAATCCTGTGGAAACTGTATTCATGCATCTGCCCTGCTGGTGCCAGTTTGAGATGTCCGAGGTGCACCCAAAATTGGTAGTTTAGGATTTTACAGGTGGGGGGGATCAGCTGTAGGTCCGGACTGCATAAAGTAGTCTTGGTCAGTACTGGTACGGGAGCTTCAGGAGCACTACACCCTTAGCAGTGGTGTAACCCCTGAGCACACGTAGGTGAAAGACTGGCACCATCAGGAGAATATTTTTGCTTTGTAGTGGGACTTATCCTGTGTCTAGTGCAATCTGACATGTGTTGGTGGTACTGGTGTAAGGAAATCTGGAGCGGTGTGGTAAGACTCTGGCGAACTTGTGAAACAAAAGCCACCTTAAAATCAATCGGCAATAAAAGGAAAACAATTTTCTGACAAATAAAGGGACAGAATTTCTTTGAAGAGCATTTTGCAAATGCAGAGAGGTATGAGCAAAGTTTAAGTCAAATTTCTGCGCTTCCCTGTGTAGCTCTGAGTCATGCAACTGGAATGTGTTATTATTTTACTTTCCTGTGCATCAGCTGACTTGAATTAGCTTTTGGAGCCAATATGCCAAAGCATCTTCTCTTGCCAAAAAGTTCTGAAATATTTAGTTGGAAGTTCTGTATCATGCATTAGCGCCTGACTCTCTTCATCATCTTCCAGTGCATCCACTTTGGCAGAGTCCGCTTACAATTCCTGGGGGCACCCGACAGTCTCCTATCAATATCCAGTGGAGAGACAGTGTTTATGACCCCGTTCTGAAGCCTCTGAAAATCAGCTATGACCCAACAACGTGTCTTCACATCTGGAACAATGGATATTCATTCCTGGTTGAGTTTGATGATTCTACTGATAGATCAGGTAAGCAAAACTCAGAAAAATCTATGTAATGTATTATTAATGGTTAGAGAGGAGCAATATTTGCATGTTGTAAAACCTCAGGTTCAGTAACAACACAAATGTTGAAAATGAATGTACAGTAGAAGAAAGCTTTAGCTAAATGCAAATTTACAGTGATGGGAATTTTAATGTGGAAGTTCTACATAGGCCTCACTTCTACTATGTATATATCACCATGGCCATTGTGCACAAATCCTCTGGTGTAGGTTGAAATTGATTCTTGTTGCACTAACCTTAATGTCCACCTTTTGCTTAGGTCTTGTAATAAGACAGCTTCATCTACATGAGTCAATCTTCAGTCATATGTATTTTAAATGAGATTCCACCATTACACTTTAATAAAGTAATCTGCCACTTATCTCTTTTGCAGTGTTAACAGATAAATTTAATGCATTTGAAATAATCAGCAGCAAAATGACTTCCAGTTGGAAAGCATACATACTTATCTCAAGCTTTTGGAGAATTAAATAATATTGAGCTGCTACCACAGGTGCATGTGTTCCTGTTGTTTTAGTATAAGCAGGAGCCCACGCATGCAAAATCCAATTATGCGTTCCAGCAATTTGTTGTGAATAAGTGCACTGATCCGAGCAGCTAAATGTTTCTAAAATGCTTGACAGAGTCAATTGACTTAAAATCAAGATACTGCTACCAAATTCCAGATTTCCTGTCCATTGTTCCTTTTAAAAGTTGACTTTACCAAAGGACATTGCTGGTATGTATAAAAAAAGATATTCTGTAAAGGTAGGTGAACTGGTAGCAGTTGGTCAGGGATATTGTGAAGCACATGGTTCATATTGATTACTCGGTTTCTCCTGGAGGGAAAAATTGAAGGACCCTGGGCAAGTTTGAACCTGTTTGATTAGAGTCATTTATGTTTAATGTGACTGTTTACCATGAGAGATGTTAGAACTGGGTAAGGGATTTAGTAATGCTCTTGGGAAGGAAGCTTTCAGCATGCTAATAAACAAATGCTTTTGTCTCTGCAATACCAGTATTTTTGGTTGATGTTTGGAAAGAGGCTGATAAAAGAACGCAGTAAAAATTGTAGTGGTGGAACGCATGGAGCTTTCAGGGGCTTGTGTGACGTCTGGGGTTTTTTTTGTTTTTATTGTTTATAACTGTTCACCCGGAATATTAATTTCCAACCAGGGAATATTCTTGCCCTTGTTCATTGGAGCGCTGTGATACGTAATGAAGAAACCAAGTAGTGCCCTTCTGTTTTTACAGTACAAACTGCTATTGTGTTAGTGAGATGGGGTTAGAGGATGGACTAAGATGGAGACATGACTTGCTAGCTCATCAGTGATTTTAAATTACTAACTTTAGATTGGTTTTGCTTTTAATTTATCAGTCTTTTACTTTATACAGCTATACCCCACTATCCGTTGAGGATGCATTCCTGAAAAGTGTAATCATTTGCAGTTCAGGATAACAAAGTAATTTTTTTCCCTGCAAGAATTGAGGTAATGGAGGGGAATTGCCTGCAGGAGGTTCAGAAATGCGCAACACTTAAATAGATGGGGACAGTTTTTGTGACATAGAAGCAAGCATGGAATCATCAGGACTGTCAGTTAGAGGGGTGCTGGCCTTTCAGAGGCTGGCTATTCAGCTCTGAAAGATCTTACCCACTTCACCTGTAAGACTGAACACTTGAGGTAAATCTTTTAAGTGTGAGCATTCTTGCTGCCTCTTTCTGGGTGGCTGCCTTTTCTTCATCATCATCATCCTCAAATTAAAGTCAATGAAGGGTGATGACGGCTGGTGGAGGGTGGCATTAAACTATCAGTGACAGGACTCCAAAATGACAGACCGAGAAACAACGGATCACGGGATGTTGCTGTATATATGGCCAGGTTTTCAAGTGCCTGCCTCTCTCCTCCACCTTTCTCTTTACTCTTGCTATTTCTGATTTTTCTTTCTGCCAGCTTCTGTCTAACAATAATAGAAATCCAGAGAAGAAAGCTTATGAACAAACAAACAAAAAAACCAGCAAAATTGAAACAGAAGATGAAAAAGACAAAATGAAACGTGCATCCAGGATAGACAAAAATGCCCAACTCCTGAGATGAGGCAAAACAAGGCTTGGGCAAAAGATGAAGGTAGTGCCGCCATGGGGTGTTTGCTTATGAGCAGAGCAGGAGGATGAAGAAGAAAGAGGGTGTGGGGAAGGTATGTACAGAACATGGTCCTGTCTGTGTGCATGAATGCCACCTGCTGCAAGGAAATGAAATTGAAACAGAACTAGGGTTACAATAAAAAGCTAATATGATTCTTTCCCCTGATTGTTACTAGAGTTCCTTTAAACTTCTATTTCATTTTTAAATTATCAAGAATGGTAAAGTGAGAGGAAATGAAATGGCAAAAATGCTTGTAAAGGGACTGTAAGTTCCTACTTGTTTCCTGCCACTTTCTAGTGTCCACTATAGGAACCTGATTTTTAATGTAACATGTGCCTGTGCCTAACTTTACTAAGGAGGCAAACATTCAAGGGAATGTGATTATTAACATGAATGTAGTCACTTGTGGGTTTGCATCGTCACATAATCAGGAATGGATAGTGTTAGAGCACAGAAACTTTAATTCTGAAAGACTTGGCAGTGTGGGCCACATCTTCATCACATCCCTGAAAGTTACCTTTCTCCATCATGATTTGTTTTTTTAGTGATGGTGTCGTGGTTTAAGCCCAGCCAGCAACTAGGCACCACGCAGCTGCTCACTCACTCCCCACCCTCCCCGTGGGATGGGGAGAACTGGGGAAAAAAAGTTAAACTCATGGGTTGAGATAAGAATGATTTAATAACTAGAGTAAAATAAAATGTAATACTGACAATAAAAAATATAATAACAATTGTAAGGAAAATGAATATTAAAAATAAAAAACAAAACAACAAGAAAAGACAAGTGATGCACAATGCAATTCCTCACCACCCACTGACTGATGGCTGAGCAGTGATCTGCCCCTCTCAGCCAATTCCCCCGGTTTATATACTGAGCGTGATGTCCTGTGGTATGGAATATCGCTTTGGCTAGCTCAGATCAGCTGTCCTGGCCATGCTCCTCCCCCCATCTTCTTGTACACCTGCTTGCTCACGGAGCATGGGAAATGAAAAAATCCTTAACATAGGATAAGCGCTACTTAGTGACAACTAAAACATGAGTGTGTTATCAACATTATTCTCACACTAAATCCAAAGCACACTGTACCAGCTACTAAGAAGAAAATTAACTCTATCCCAGCCAAAACCAGGACAGATGGTCATTATTGCATTTATGCTAAGAGCTCAGCAGCAGTGGATGAAATTAATTAAATGTCAATTTGCATAGCTTGTTTCAGCTTACTCTTTTATCACAAGCAGGCCTATCTAGTTAGAATTTCAAAACTGCTGGCTGGCTTTAAGGAAAAAAAAAAAAAAAAAAGACAAGAAAAGCTCTTAAAGCCTCTCATTGTTTTCTCCTTAGCATTAAAGTGATTAACTTCTTTTCAAAAGTTGTGTTGGGATTATGTACTTTATAAAGTGGTTCTCTATAAAATTTAACCATGACATATAGTTAAGTAAAAATCAGCAAATGGGTCTCTACAGCTACATATTTATTGTTAGCCCTTTGGAAGTAATTATGGTCTCTCATTTATCAGATGCTGTGATGTAATAACTAGCAAGAAGACCTTGCAGGATATTTCTGGTTCAGTTAGAAGGAAATGAGTAAAACCCAACAGTACACAGAAAACTAGGCAATGACTTTTTCATTTATGTATTTCCAAAATGATGAGAGGCCTTCTGAAATCAGGAGAGCGGACTGAATGTTTACCTTTAGTCATGGCTAAAAAGTGCGTTAAAGCTTCCAGAAACTCAGAATCTTGCTCATAGGCAAACTGTGTGTTTAGATACTTTGTGGAGTGTAGCTTGAACAGTTTACAGTAGGCACAATATTAGCATATTTCTGGCTGTGCAGGAAATCTTTTAACATTGGTTATGCAGTCTGAAAGCTGCATTGAAGCAGAATAGTACGTTTGGATTTTTGTAACTTGAAAAAGAGTAGAATTGAGCATTTGACACAATGTACTGATTTTTCTGGCAAAATTGCATATTTGAAGTCTTGTATTTTCATGGGAACGATCAATATTTTTTATAGACATTGAGGCTTTGCTGGGATGTCATTTAATAGATGTATTCATTGTGTTGTCATCATAACATGTTTCTTCTGGTAAGGCTGTTCTCATATGCCTGCTCAAAGAGAAAGAGTATAGAATGTAACACGTAATCACCATGACTCTGCCAAACTTGATGTGACTTGGAAAAAAAATTCCCTTGAGGGGAGATGGATGAGGAGACTATTTAGCATATCTTCAATTTGATATAGTTGATTCAGACTGCAGGGAAAAACAATGATGTGTTTGCTTGAACAATTTTGTCATAGCAAAGTGAAGTGTAAAAGTAGCCCAGCAATAGGGGACTGTTTCAGTTAAGATAGTTGCTTCACCTGATGACCCCCCCCCCCCCCCC